CACTTTTGCAGCTCCGCATGCGATGAGACCCGCATTGTGGAATATAAGCCTTCGAACCGGATGTTAAGTTTATCCATTTTTTTTCAACGCCTTCATAACTTTAAGAAATACTCTCTACTCCGTTGCAAAGGATTACCTCTGAACATAATGTCATTAACGCTACTTTAGCTGACTAACCCATTCTTGTTCGAAAACTTGCCAAGAAAGCAAGGAAACCCTTTTTGTCTCCGTCGTAATGTTCCTGTCAACTTTGATTTGGTCAGTAAGAGAAGTTTAATGGTCGAATATTGACAACATGCTTTTTTTCTGGTCTTACTTGCTTTGAAAAAAAAGGAGTTTTTGCTTGCGAAAGTTTCACCAGCACTATCCATCTTGCTCAGTGCACTGTGCACAGCCCCCACTAAAGTCACTTGTTAGTTGCTGGATGCTGGACGATTGCACGAAGCTTTTCCAAAGATCACGCGTTCGTTCTGGTAACGTTAGAGGAAACAAAGAGCGCATGCTTACAAGGGAAGGATACTTGGTCGAAGTGACAATTCGAAAATTATGCATACTGAGAGATGCATCTTCAGACGGTGATTCCAAATCTGTTTTCCATACCTGCGAAGCGTTTCTCTGGAAGGAGTTATGGAAGTTTTTCTATGTTGAAATCAGCCTGTGCGCCTCGTCAAAGCTGCTCTACAACATTAAATCAAACCAGAAGCAAAATGGTTTACTTTTACTATGAAGACATATTTTGTATCTAAGCAGCCTTTGTGCTGCTGTTTTGGATCAAGTTTGAAATATTTGAGCATCTTAATCCAGGTCCTGTAAGTCATTTTTGATAGAGAAAAACCTCCGTAACTTCTTCCGGTAAGACGATTCGCAGATATGGAAGGTAAATTGAAAATCAGCGTTTTAAACGGTATGGAACAATATGTATCGCCACTCGACCAAGTATCCTTCCCTTGTTAGTACGTTACGAGGGAACACCTTATTTGAGTAAGAAATCGTAGTGTTTTGAAACTTTCAAGAGTCTGCCTAGCCAAGC